TAAGTAAATTCAAACTCAAATTCCATGAACGATCCGATGCAACCACTAGAAAACGCTGGCTAACATTCTGTACAAGGAGTATTCTTGATCTGATATAAAGAAACAACTGGTTTTCAAACAGTTTTCAATGTATTACTCAACTTACATGTACAGTCTGCCATGCCGACACGAATGGCGCCAATGGATACATTTAGAATCGACCTCAGCCCCATTCCATGAAGTAAAACAATCTAACATGACCTTATATATATTTTGCAGACTGTTTCGACTGACTGTAATGTCAGAAAGAACAAACAAACTGTAAATTCAACAGACATCGAAACATGTGTAATTTATATAATAACTTACCCATGCCTGTACAATTGGTATGTTCCTGCATAAACAGGAATAAATATATATGTACATATGTGTTGGGGATAAATTCACGATGTCGCTGTAGATTCATATCCTCCATATTCACAGATGTATAGCTGATGGAAACTGTTTTTTCATGAAGGACTCAATAGATGGAGCATCTAAATTGGCATTTCCGTCTTTTATGAAAGGATTTGTTTCAAGATGTCCAATGAATGTTCGCATCTCATTTCATTATAAATAAACTTCGTCCGGCGGCCCACTTAAGTTACTAGGCTGCCAGAATTTCCATCCATCTAAGCGCATTAATTTCTCCGCGTTTCTTATAGTTTTAATTGTGAGAATACACCTGTCAAGGAACTCAATCCTAAGTTCTTATTATTTGCGAAGATGCTCCGAATCGATAACTACTAGGTACGATTATCGACTTTAACTCCAAAACACAAAGACCAATGAAAAATTGTATTGTTCGGCAGTTAAATTCGTTATCGTACAAAGCCTGTAGACGGATGTTCTACAAGGAATGTATTGTACTTTTATTCGTATTCTTTCGTCTTCTTCCAACTTGCACACGATTGAATCATTCGCGCCTTCCAGTCGCCCACCAATGGCTATCAACGTCAATGAACCAACGTTCAATGTTCACATTGATTTACACTCCTCGGCAAAAAGGGTCCATCTCTATTTTTTCATCATAGCGTAAACCTTAAACTGAACTGCCAACGCGGGAACTCGGGCTAACCGGGACTAGGCTGAAATGGAAAACAAGACAAAAACGCCCCAACACACATCAAGCACAATACATCACGCTAGTACGCCTCCCCGGCGTGTAGGATCTTACTCAGTAATCGGAAGTTTATTCACTTTCTGTCGACAGTACCACCGCTGATCTGGTCCTCAGGGTGTCAGTTGCTTCATGTCACTCTGGCACCCCCACCGGCGTATCAAGTCGCATACAATGGCTCTAACACCACTCTATTCGTTCACAGTTCTAGAAGACTAGAAACGACTTCAGAAGTACTTACAATGACATTACAAGATGATTCACACAATGCGACAACTAAAAAATTAACCAACAGTTAGGTGAATTGGAACCCACTGAATTATTTAACACAAATATTTGTACAATCACTACATCAAATGTTGTGAATTCTGCCTTGACGAACTACCCTTGAAGAATTGTAGGACATACAGCACTACGCCCACATTCCTTCTCAGGTTGACGATCCAAGTGGATAAAGGTCCGGACATAAACATAATTAACCAACAAATACATGAGAGATGATACCAAATCAATATATATAACATGAACATATGTACAAAACAACACACCAAGTGCGATGGACTGCGCTTCGATGTAATACCCTTGAAGAATTGTAGGACTTACAGCAGTACGCCTACAATCCTTCTCAGGTTGACGCCCTAGGTTAGAAAATCGTCGTTGAGTTCATTTGCTGACCTCCTTGTAACATCTATATACTCATCTCTGAATAGTGACACGTCCATGACTTTGTATCGTGGAATATGGATGACTAACAAACATACGACGTATCTGGCCAACCAAGCGAAAGCACAGAGTAATATACACCAAAGATAATAACATTCGAATAGTAACTTGAAACCTGAAAGGCTTTTATTCGTGCAAGTCAGTTTAACAATTACCCTATCGTACACAGTTGACTTATCATTACTGAAATGGCCCTTGACCTTCGCCCTTTCAGACGGACCGATACTAGCACAATCACAGCATAAGACACATGGGTTCACGGATGGCCCTTTCTCTGTGGATCACAACACCAACGACGACTGAATAATATTAGTTGATTAATTTAGCGGTGCATCAGAAGCTGTTGTTGTTCGACCTTTAGAAGGTTGTCTAACCGCAGGATTACCACCCCTGCTACCTTTTGTGATTAGCTCCAGTTTGGCATTTACATCTGTCGATAAGCGGACTACAAATTTGTAGGGGAAGTTGAAGTTTGAAGTCAATTCCTCTGTATAACTTTGTTGTGTGCGGCATCGTATCTTGTTCTTGAATTTTATTCAAATTGGGTATTAACTTGAAATAAGTGCTTTAGTTGTATAATTTTAATAATAATAATTTGCTTTATTCCAGAAACAGTACTAGTGGTACAGTGTGGAATTTTATCAGCATTTTCATCGTAGGTAACACCAGAAGTGAATTGCACTGAATGCAGGTTTGCTTTACTGCGCCCATGTCAGCCAAAACTGCCATTTGTCGCTGCATGGTTGTTCCGTACGAGTAAGTTGATTAACACGTGGAAAGCTATTTGTAAGCCATTTTAGATCATGGGTACTGCTTGCATAGGATGCTTTACAGAGTCCTGTTATGCTGACGGTGGATATTTCAAGGATGCTGAGTAATTACTAGCCAAAACCTTTAAGGATGATATATAAGTAGGTGGGTTCGATTTCTGTTAAACTTCAGTCTAACTGCAACTTCCACTACAAGACAAATAGAAGGGAAGAGGCGAGCAGCAAATAACTAAAGAGGAAAGAAAAAGTATGTGGACACGGATAGGACTTTAATGCTTGCACATATATCTTTATATTTGTTGTACTCTTAGTCGAATAAAATGATCTTTCCATTCAGCCATGGTTTTCATAAAACCTGGATGTGTTTGCCTTTATGGAGTTACAGCTAAATTCTGAAATCAGCCAAGTAAGCTTTACACACCCAATGACATAACAAACCTATTTACCCCCAAACGCATTCGAGTAGTCACATAGCATAGGAGAAACTAACCTACATGAGGAAAAGAAGAGGCTTCGCATAGAAGTGGATAATGCAAACTTGTAGGCTGAGAACTGAGATGCGCTGACAGAGTGTCGGTTCTATCGCAATCTATCATCTTCATGATTGTACAGCTCATGACTTCTGCACGGAGAATTTAGACGCTGACGCTGAGGTATCGTCGCAGAATTCTGAGTAATTTTGATTTCGCGTAGGGTGGCTGGAAAAATCTGACGATGACATTACCATGTAGTACTATCCACTGCCTGCTGATACGATCTCCACATCACTAGTCCTAATCCTGCATTTCTTGCAAACCATGTGTTTTCATTCACAACTCTTATTCCCACCCCTCTTATCTTTGAGCGGAATCTTCCACCTCCAGGAAGAAGTGATCAAGCGTTTCTCACCTCTATATTCGTTTCTGTTGCGATGCTTGGAGGCAAGAGCCTAACGTGACTAATTATTTGAAAGTTCAGCCTTGTCACGTAACAGGACCATAAATCTGTTGGCCCGTGAGGGAGCTGTATGTGGTCGATTCAGTCAGCCATACACCAGAGTAGTCCAAATTCACATCATATGAACTGCACGTTGGGGCAGAAACTTTTATCATTACCATGAACGAACCCAGGAGCCCGTGATGAAATTAGAAAAAAAGAAACGTCTTTATCACTTTCGAAACTTGGGAAATCAGACGGCCATACACAGCAGCTGAAAAAAGCTTTAGCAGATATTCGAAATACACCACGCGAGATAAAAGGCACTTATAGCACGATAGTAGGTTAAGTATTTGCTTGTCCACATATACATCAGTTTTAAGTTGATAATAGAACAGTTAGTACACAGAAAATGAATAACAATTATAACGTCCCATAAACCACACATATTTCGCAACAAGTGCCATAGGGTTCTCAACTGCGAATCGTGTGGCAACAGCTGAGTGAAACATGATATCTTACCTAATAGTAGAGAAGCTTGACCTTATAACTGCAATTTAGTTATCTGACCTCAACAATGACGATCAGCTTCAAGTGTTGAGAAATGACTAAGGCAGTGAACTTAACATAAGGAACTATGCCGGACTACCATGAGAACATGCCCACTTTGCAGACTGTCCCAACAATTTACTTGTTCTGGGTTTTAAACACGTAGCAAAGTAAGCCGCTATGCAAATTGGCGAGGCAAGCGTTATTACGTAGTACAGGAAGACTATTTCTTGATTCTTTCTCACGGGTATTCATTTCGGCATCGTAATAAAAAAAATATCAAATGTAACCAGCGGTTTTAAGAACCCGATTAGTTATAATCACCGCTTCTACCCAGATTAGTGGTAATATGCCCACCATTAGGGAAGTTACGAAACAGAAGGTCTCATCCAAGCAGCCGCCCTTTATCGAAAGGGGACACACGTTGGTTTCCTGGTACTACCAATTTAGCGAGGGAAGACCTTAATAGCAAACTTAACTCCATATTTTCATCACTGTCTAAGTAAAGTTGAGATATAATATCGATTTTCGTATTTTCAATATAAGACTAAGGACCTAGGCTATTTCGTCTTATCTCCTACACCGCCTTGGAACATATCAGGGGATTTAGAAGTAGATAGCAAAATCTAAGGAGAAATATATTGCTGTAGAGTGCTGGTTCTTCAAACTAGTTATTGGCCATTGAAACGAACTCTTAGGCAGATTAGAGTCTGAGATATTTTGGTTTCTTCAAAAAGGGATTGCACAATCAAAAATTTGAACCTAAAATAAAATATTTCGTAGGGCGTTATATATTACACTTATTCCCTATTTTGAGACCTGATGTGGACTGTCAAATAAGAAAATAGGAACAATTATTCTTAATTATTGTACATTGTAGTAACATTGGTGCTTGTTTTTCTTCACTGTTAAATAATACTATCGTCCTTGTTAAGGACCCACATTCTTTAAATGTAATTTCTCCGGATATGTTCTTCCCTATTTTAGTAAGTAATTCACGTTTCTGTCAACACTGGTGAATAGTCTAACAGTGCCTTTGGTTTTTAAGAATAATTGTGTAGTGATTAAGGGTTGAAAGAGATGTCAGTAGGGAGGGAATATATGAATATTTTAAGTGTAAATTATATAAAGTACTCCATATGGTTAATACACATGCATTAATCCTGGACTTTTCTACTGACAACTCTTCGTGTCTGGAAACTGAAGTAATGTGGGTAGCTTTGAGGCTGGTGAATATGGCTGATAGCGATTTTCTTAGGAGTATGTATACATATGTGTGTAATATCTGCACATATATATATATATATTATATAGATCCGTATAAATAATGTATGTCTATAGATCTATGGCATTGAGGGTGATTCGCAATGATGTACGAAAAGCGATTAAAATTGTCATTGTCATGGTGCCTTATATAACCTAACGTCTCATTTGTGACAGCATTAAATTATTTTTTGTAAATTGCTAGTTCCGTTACATAACATTACCAAACGCGGGGAGCTTAATGCACATGTACACGTCACTAACTGACCAAATGTATACTAAGTATATTGTGTGCTATCTCACAGTAAAGCAATATCAACATACTTGAAAATCCCTCTCTAGAAGAGCAAATTCACACGCCTCGTTCCAGAACATCTCAAAAATTTTCCGAAGGATGCCATCGGTTAAGGTCATTGGACTTCGATTACATGAAATGATATCAATATTGATTCTAAACTGTCACTTATTCCATGTATTTGATGTTTAAGATATCTCTGAGAGTTTATTAGATATCTTTAGAGAGAGAGAGAGAGATAATTTAAAGAATAAGGTGATTTTAGTATCAAGACATCAAAAGATCTCTGTGTATTGTTATGTGTAGGTGTAAAGACTAGGAGAAACAAAACTTATTGCTCAGGAATCAGTTTTCAGGTATTTTTGCTTTCTAGAAAGTGAGGTTGTTATCTTTGCTTTAAGCACCTCATATTTTCACATACATTACATTCCAAAAATGATTCTATCTTAGCTGTACAGGATTGATTAGAAGCATTATGTTTGCACGTTGAGTAGAAAAGTTAAAATGTGTTGCACTGATCAGTTATCTATCTCTTACATCTTGAAGAAATATTTACATTAAATTCCAGAATTTTCGATTGACGACAGAAGGCTAAAAGCATGTGTTAACCCTTTTTAAAACACGTATCCGTGCTTGTCTAATCTATTCTTGAACGATTCAGTTGAAAGTGCAGACTTCACTTCTTCTTGGAGTCGGGACCAACGGTTTATGATACTTGATTCCTCCTTAGCTTTAAACTCTCCTACTTTGTACTCTGAAGAGCTCTAATCTAATGGGTAAGAAAAGAGTAGACAAATTACGCCCATAATCATTTTATAGTAGTTTAAAGTTTGTAATGAGCTCTCTCTGCTTACAGTATACTAAGGAGAGATTCAAAATGTGAATTCTCTCCTCGTATGCTAAATTTTGTCACATCAAGATTCATGCGTTCTAGAATGTATAAGTCCCTCTAGTTTCGACTTCACCAGAGATGTGTATACAGCAGGGAATATTTCACTAGTGATTCTGATTAAGGTCCTTCGTGTATTGTAAGGATCTAAAACTTCCAAATGTGACTGTGCGACATTATGTCGTAGTTTTTACGTTGTGACTTACTACGACACCTAGACTCCTGTGCGTCGAAATTGATGGCACTAGTATTCCCTTTATATCCTATAAACTGACATTGGTGTGTTCAATATTAATGGTTGTGCACTTTGCTACGTTAATGTAAAACATCTAGCTGTTTTTAGTTTAATTATTATCATCACCCATATGTCACCACATAAAAAAGTCAGCTTTTTAGATTAGACCAATGCATTTGTGTGATGTATTCTGTTTAATCCGTAATAATATGGGTCTAGTGAATGAATTTTAAAGAATTAAAAGTTTGTGTTATAATTTGGTTGAATGAACTGTTGTTCACTGTACAATTCAAAAACCTTGAATACAATCGTTCAGTCATAGTGTATAATGCAAACTCAGATCTTTCAGTCTATAGATTTGATGTTATCCATTCACCATCGGGGGATAAGCTTGTTTCAGCGATGTGATTTATTCGTCAGATGATTAATATAAAAAAACTGTTTGTCAGTGTCATCTTTTTTATTATTCTTATTGTTTCCTTTAATTCCTAGAGGAACGTAGGGCTTCAGCCATGCGTCTCCATTGCGTTTGGTTCTCTGCTAGAGTCTTCACCTGGCTCCAAGTCTGCCCACACACGCTTTCATCTCCTCTTCACATGACCTCCTCCAAGTCACCCCACCCTTGCACTGACGACCAACTCGCCGCCGCTTCCCATTCGGTCGGGTTCCACTCGAGCAATGGCTTGTCTAGTGATGTCACTCACTTGATGGTTTGTTTCCTCAGAGTATGGCCAGCCAATCCAACTACCTCCATTTCTTCCTGCCTATTTGTTTCACAATCGGTTGGTTCCCGCTGTGTTGGTTGGTTCGCTCATTGTCAGAGATCCCTCTCTGTTGCTGATGTTTTCTGGCCGGCCGGCCGGCCATCTGATCTTGAGTAGTATTGAGCGAAGACAGCAGCTAGCTGTTAATGAAGGTCTGTAGTTTGTTTCAGATGCTGTTTATGACGCGCAGTGCAAGTCTCTGATCGGTATAGTAAGTGGCACTAACTGACTTCACATTGGAGTTGAAAATTCGGATGTTATTTTTGATGCTGAGTAGTGCTGTTGACCTCCACACAGACTTGAGAGTAGTGAAAGCTTGTCTTGCTTTTCCGATCCTTGCTGCTTTGATATCCTCGTCAGTTCCGCAGGCCTGTAGTTGAAACGATGCTTCCCATGTGAGTAGGTAGGTAAAGGAGGCTGTTTCTTTCAGGTTCCTTCCATTTATGCTGATTGTTGTCTGTTGTTGTTGTTCTTGTCCAGGAATTTTCATTACCTCTGTTTTCTCTATGTTCGCCTGAAGTCCTTTCTATCTTTGATGCTTGTTCTGCCAACTTGTTGCTTTTCATCACTTGCATATCTTCCAGTTTGTGGGAAATCAGACAATCTTTTTTTATTATTGTATGCTTTTTTTCCGTCAGCTAAAATTTATTACTATCAAGAAGTAAATATTTAATCTACTCTAGATTGTTTTGTATCGTAACAGCTATTTGTTATTGATTTCTGTAATTAGTTTTAATTGAGGATAGATAACTTTGTATTTTAGATTCTCGTCTAAACTGAGCGTCGAATTTTCAACATTTAATCTTTTAGGTTTATCTTATCTTACGATTATGCTGTGTGTCCAGTGATTGTATTTGGTATGGTATTTGTGATAATTCCGATCCTGACCATCAAAAGTATTGTGCTTACAATGGTTCTGCTAAACCATTGGGCAAAGATGCTGTTAGCACGCTGTCAACTCTTTGTCCAAATTATGCAGTTGGCGAGTCAAAAGTATGCTGTGATGAAAACCAGTTGGCACTCTTTTCAAAATCTGTTTCTCTTGCTGCTATGCTATTGAAAAGGTGCGTCTTTTTTATTGATTTGTTTTACTAAACTTAATGTTTATTGATTGTTATTATTTATCAAAACAGAAACTTTGTACACCGTAAGCAACAAGAGATGTGTCACATATCTTAACATGGTTTGTGTGAGACACAAGACATTGCCCAGATATCCATAACGAAATAGGTGATTGTCTTAAGGGACTACCTTTAAGCCTTCGATTTGAAGTTTGATACACAAAGCAGTGGATCAGCGTCAGGAGCTGCGTTCTTATATTTCCAAGTGACCCAAACAGATTCATATACCGTTTAATCGAATCGGATTCTGGAGCCAATGTACAGCATAGGTTTCGGTCGGTCGACCGGTCGGTTTTCGACATAGAACTTTGCACATATGTGCGCCAGTTCAAGTCGCCACACTCCCTCCATGTAGCACACAAAGCCAGAAAAGAAGAAAGTTGGAGAAATGCGTAATATACACAGTAAACCGAGGTGTGAGACAAAGGAATAGTAGTAACGGAGAACAAAACAGTTAAATTGGAAATCATAAGTCATTCACAAGGAGTGGATGCATCTGCACCAGTCAGCCATTGAGAACGATCACTTTGAGCCATGTCACCAATTGTTTCCAGCCTTCATTGGTTTTTACCGTCCTGAGGACCCAAACCAGTCAGGAAGCCAGTCTACACCTTCCTACGTGGTTGGCTTAGACTAACTGTTGTGGATTTCATTGACTGGTGAAGCCATGTTTTGGTTTGACCACCACTGGCTAGCTCTTTTCCAGCCTGACCCTATATCAGCTGACTTACATAGCCCATTTTTGAGGAAGGCGATGACTAGGGATGCATGAGTAACACATGTCCTAACCATCTCAGTCGATGTAGCTTCACAGTCTCGTCGACTGATTTCCCCACCTCACCTAGCACTCGACTGATGGCCTAACCTTAATACTTCTCACCTTATTATACCACTTCACACGCACGGGAGATAGAACGCAGACACCTATGATCGAAGACAGCTAGTCTTTTCATGTCTTCTGCTCTCAATGGCCAGGTCTCACAGCCAGCCATAAAGGAGGCATAGGTTTGGGATCAGGATTTTTATGTTCCACTATGCGAATGTGCTTGTCTTCTAGTTCGGTAATGAATACCATAGATTGCATTTTCCTTTTTTTATTTTTGTGAGTAACAGCCTGGGCGTGTAAACGTAGTGAAAAGGACTTACCTGGCCGATGCTATAAAAAACTTGTGGCTACATGAATACCCTGGGTCTTTCCTCATCGTTTATGAGGACACTCAACATAATTTCATTATAGAAAATCAAAACAAGTGGTGATTCAGCGAACACACTCTTTTCAACAACGAATTTATCATCAAGCTGTACAATCGTATATATATGGTTTTTAAGAAGTTATATCCGATGAGGGAATTGAATCATAGGTGTGAATGCATAAAATAATAGTAATAGTAATAATATGAAATGCAATTAAAACTAAAATGTTTGCGATCATAATCATAGTTAAATGTCAAGTGGCAAAGCAAATTAATGTCATATATAGAACAATTCAAAGGATGTATAAAACTTGGAAGGGGTGTGCAATCATAGGATTAGTAGGCAGAAAGTTACTTAACATTGTGTGAAATTTGATAGCATAGAATATAACGTTGCAAAACAGAATTGATTCAGAATGACAAGTGGAACGAGTGAAATAACACCGGAGACAGTTCAGAGTGAGAATAGTAATTGTAACAATTGACACTGTAATAAAGGAAGAGTATACAAACTGAATAGACAAAACGGAAAAAATTGGTAGAGCCGAAATATGATTAGGGATAACCATACTTAAGCATTGAGGGATTAAGACCATGGAAGTTGGAGGGGAGTTGAGTGAACTTTTGCGGTATACAGATACCTACCTGGCTATCGAAACAGAAAAGCCAGATCTCTGTATACAGGAAAAGTTCGTTCAAACCCTCCAACTTTTATGATACAGCTTTGATAATAAATTCGTTGAAAAGAGTCTCTTCGCTAAATCAATTATTTTGATTTTCTATATGTGTTACAACAGGAATTTTCTATGAAACATCATCTGACGAAAAGAAGAAAGTTTATAGGTAATAGTGAAGCCAGGTAAAAAGAACTGCGAAGAATAGGATGAAATAAAGATGTACTCCTAAAGATCGGTATTCCACTTGAAATCCAAGGGATTAATAATACTATAATATAATAATTATCTGAACTCAGTTATCAGGAAGAGACTAACAGCTACATGTGTAGGGGACTGTCTAGAGCAAGCTAATTAACATAACAAAATATGCGAATAAAAGTCAATGAGAGTACAATGCAACAATATATTATCAAAATGCAGTAATGAGTTATATTAATTAAAAGGTTACTTGGATACGTTGTTAAAGTCCACTGCTACAAATTATTTATATAGTCCATCCATTTTCATAATCTGTCGGTGGTATAGCGGTTTGCACGCTCGCCGACCATGCACATGGCTCGGGGTTCGATACCAGGCCGACGGACTCCTTTACCTCGCTAAGCTAGAAATAATGCTGGTGAAGAGGAAAGGTTGGGCATGTAAAATAAACATTGCTACAGAAACTTCAAGCCTCTAGCTTGAAGCCCTATGTTCCACTGGGGAACGTGAAGCAAAAAAAAATCCACAGAAGCGTTGACTAATGGAGTCGTGTCTCCTGGTAGAAACTGTGTTCCGGTTGTAGAGTTGTCTTCGGATAAGGATAATAAATTCCTGCAATAAATCCAAAGTATACAACACTGTTTGAGTGGAGCGAGTAGACAAAAATGGCCAGAGAGAAGGAGAAGCTACCAACAGTATAGTGTTGTATTTCAAATTGTACTCGGAAGTTATATGTATTTAAACATAAATCGTTTTAAACAAGAGTCATGTACAGTGTTTCTAATTTCAACATCTAAGCAAAAGGTGTACAATCATATGGTTACGTACTCCACACATGTATTATTTGACGCCTTAGGTATTGGCTGACTAAGTTCCGACGTAGAACAGAAGTGCAGTAGTAGTGCAAGTTTTTGCATTTCATATACCACACAAATGTTGAGAGAAAGAAAAATAATCAAAGAAAAAAACAAACAAATATGATGAACAAAAATGGAGAAACTTGAGGATTTAAGAAATCTCGGGTCTTACGAGCCAATATCATTAACAGCCGAAAGTCATTGATTTCTAGCCTCTTGTGAACTCCAGCCGGACAGTCTTCATGTGGCTGACTCAAACAAACAGTCAGTAGATGCTACTCACTCCCTTAGGTGAAAGTAGGTGAAGAGGGGCTTTGAACTTCCTCTGATGATTAGACATCGATTGCTTAAGCTGTGGCACAGTGGTTAGGACTCTCGCCGACTATGCACATGGTCCGAGGTTCGATCCCCTGCCGACGCACACCCGATATCTATGGTTGGCCTGAAATTTGGGCTACCGATATCCATGCTGAAAATTCCATACTTGTACTGAAAATACAGTGTGGAATCAAGCTGTAATCAAAATAAATAAATAAATAAATAGCATAATCCCTAAACATTGAATTTTGTTCAACTAACCTAATTGTTTTCGGATATCTCCTGCTTTTTTTCTCTCTTTTTAAAAAAAAAAAACTTTTTAGATGTCCAGCGTGTTATGCAAATTTTCGCTTACTTTTTTGTGCTATGACATGTGATCCAAATCAAGCTCAATTTCTTACTCCAACAATTAAAGGAAACGTGGTTGATTCTGTTGAATATACACTAACAGATCGTGCAGCAGATACATTCTTTAACAGTTGTAAGGTAATGTGTTAATGATTTTTTCTTTCTCTCTTATGTGGTTGATAGAGATGTTAGTATGTAAATTAAGAATTCAAGTTCCATCACCGTGTTCAAGTATTGGTTTGTAGGGATTTGGTTGATTGGTTACAGGATTTCATCATGAGCTGACATCAGTTAGAGAACCATTGGAAAACCTGAAGGGAGAACTGGACAGCTGTTTCGTCTTTGTTTGGGACTCTTCATCAGTACGCACCCACGGGGGTTCGAACCCAGTACCTTCTGGTTACAAGGCGAGCTCGTAGACCATTAAGCCACTGAGACCCGATCCAATGGCCCATGAATTCTAACTTCTGCCCATTCACGATATAGCGCAACCGCTGGCGCAACATCACCGTGTCCTGATATTAGTTAAAGGAGTTGAGAAAACCAACACAGTGGGCTGACCAGTTGTTTCGTTCTAGTTTAAAACTGTTTAGCATTATATATCCACGACTGACTGACTCCCCCCCACCTCAAGGATCGAATCTAGCTTATTAACCCTCCATCTACTAGGACGAATTCCGATTGTTCATAGATTTTAATTTTCTACTAACTGATTACAGTTGCCATTTGGTTCTGTCCCAGTGTGACTGGAAGAGATGGACAGGCTCACCTCGTTACCTGAATGGACAAAGTTCGGTCCCCGTTTGGTTTATGGCTGTGTACTTATCAAAAGCCCTAATAAACTACAACGAAGCAGCTGTCTTATTACTCTCTGGGTTTCAGCACCTTTTTTTCTTTAATTGATGTCAGGTCTTGATATATCTAGAAATCAATAAAATCTGTTCAAAGCAACACTTGAGAATAGTTCAAAGCTATCGATTTTTGAGGTTTGTCTTATGTTGATATATGACAGTGGAAATTAGAACTTCAAAAGTTTTTGACCAAAGCAAGAACTACAGTTTTAGCAGAATAAAATGGTACCCTCATGATTTATTTCCTTGTCTTCTCGTCAGCTGCTTACAGGGCAAAGACATTATTAAATGTATCTACAAAAACAATTTTAACATACTTGCACAGAGTTCATTTTAAACAAAAATCAATCGATCAGTATACGCATACAATAATTATATATACATATATATGCAATATTAAATACTATTCCAAACAATAATAATCATACACAATGAAAACTTTTCAGTATCTCGCATTCGGATGAAAAATATCTAGTTACCGGGGCAAAGAAAGACTAATAACCGCTTCTTTCTGGACGCATAAATCAGGTTTCAGGCGCTTGATGGAAAAGGCTTCAGTAAACTTAAGGAGAATTGAGCTCTTTTGCGCCTATTGATAATTTTGAACGACTTTTCGACGTCCACCTCATGACCCATGCCGAGGAGATGTCTGGCGATGGCACTGTTTAAAGCATCTAGGTAGGTGAAGAGAGAGGTTGATTACTGAATCCTTGTTCATCGAATCTACACCCAACACATGCAATAGGAATGAATCATCACTCATACCCGAAATATGGAAAATACTACTACCAATCAAATCAAGTGAAAAACAATGGAACTATATAAATGAATTTAGGAAGTCGTGTGATTACCTTGATATGATTATGAGCAATAAATTGTGCTCGAAACGTCATCAGTAAATATTACTGTATAACACTGTGAGACTCTATCAAAATAAAATTTACCCATAATGGAATTACACTCTACCACAGTACACAAGTTTTATTCTTATGAAACTATAGTTCTTGCTTCGCTCAAATTCATTAAGGGGAATAAATGTATGAAATTTCTGAAAAGTTTTTGTTGTTGATTTAAAAGAAAAGAAGCTGATAGTTACTTGTTAACTCACTTTTGATCTTCCCAGCCTCTTGTGATATATCGTCTCCTAGTGGGGACGCTTCGACAACGTTTGAGGATTAACTTAAAGTAATTTTGGTTGGTGGTAACTAACAGTGGGGGCCATTTCTTCCTACTTGTCGGACTCTTCAGCTGGATGTACCTGTGGAGTCTTCAGTGTGTATTGATATTCTTCCATTGAGACAAGAACCCTACCAGTACCTAATATTTCAAACGCTAATGCATAATCCAGTAGACTAATGTGACTCAAGTGGTATAGAGTGGGATAACGCTTTGGTGTTTGAACCAATCAGTTCTGGTTGGGTTCGAGTCTCAATAGAGGAACATCATCACACACACACTGGAGACTCTACAGGTACATCCGACTGACGAGTTCCACAAATGCGAAGAAATGGATTCCACTGCAAGTTACCATCCACTAGAAATTACTTCAAGCATGCTAAAAAGTTTATTTAACCCATTTTAAGTTTTTTTTTTAAATTTCTGTACACAAGTCTTGATAAAGGTATCTACTTTTGTTTAGGGATAATGTTGTCATGTTTTTATGCCTTTGGTAGCATGAATAATGTGTAGTTTCAAACCCAGATTACAATCAACTCCCTTTTGGAAAAGAGCTGACCACCATGAATATTATTCAATTGGAAAGGGATTTTTTTTCTAGTCCTTTACGTTCCCAATGGAACGTAGGACTTCAAGCTTAGAGGCTTGAAGTTTCTGTAGCAGTCAGTGGTGATTATTTTTACGGGATGGGGTTGCTACCCTCATGCCCAACCTTTCCTCTTTACCAGTCTTACTACTATCTGGCTTAGACAGGTAAAGGAGTGTGTGTCTGTGGCTGGAGATCGAACCCCGGACCACCTGTGTGGTCGGTGAGCACTCTGCCGTTGTGCTATCGCCGCACAAAGGGAAAGGAATGCTATAAGTTATTTTGATAGTTTTGTTGATTTAACAAAACCCTCAGAATGGTTTTTAATAATATTGAGTAGGTGCTACTTTGTAGAAATACTGAAATTTTCAAAACTACTGATATGAAGAATAATTTACTGCGCTTCCGTAAACTGTAGGGGGGAGGGGGAGTTAGAATATCTCCTGATTGGAGCTGATTAATGTCTGGTGCATCAGGTAGCATATTTATTTTCTGGAGTTAGTCAGTTGTCAGATTGGGGTTTTCCTAGTTCTCAGTAGAAAAAGAAGATTGAATCTGTAGTAAATATTTAAAACAATTAGTCCCTTTAATAAATTTGAATAAGGCACTTAGAAGACAAATTTCGTGAGATGATAGTTGCTCTACAATCACTTTACAACTAGTATGGTTCAACTAGCATGACAGTTACTCAGTTATATAAAACAAAAGTACATACTCATGACCAACCATTTTTAAATAGGTCAAGTAGTCAGTCCATGGCAGGCGAAGGTTGAAGTTTATTGTTTTATGTACACACAGTTTAGGCTGTATGTGATTAATCCAAAGGGCTTCCATCACCTTCAATAACCAACCTTGAATTAGAGTTATGTGATGAAATAGTTGTGAAACAGTCATTAATATTGATTGATTTTGTGACCTGACATTAATAAGTGTTTTGCAATGGATGATACTGGATTCCTATTCAGATTAATCGCATTGGGGTTTTCTATATGATTTAGTAACCATTTTGGAACATGTTCTCTTCGACCACGACATTGGAACATTCTATTGGTTCTACCTATATAGGTGTCACCGCAGCTGCAGGTGAACTTGTAGACACAGTTTAATCGTGGGTACAGGAATCGGAAATGTTCGAGATGTTGAGGAAAAGAGATGTTTTCAAGTATTGGTTTTGTAGGGATTGGTTGGAGGATTTCATCATGAGTTGACATTAGTTAGAGAACCTTTAGAAAACCTGGGAGTACTGGACAGCTGTTTCATCCTTGTTTGAGACTCTTCAGTAGTACGCACCCACCACCGTGGTTCGAACCCAGGACCTTCTGGTTACAAGGCGAGCTCGTATACCATTAAGCCACTGGGACCCGATCCAATGGCCAGTCCATGAATTCTAACTTCTGCCAATTCACGATATAGCGCAACCGCTAGCTCAACATCACCGTATCCGGATATTAGTTAAAGGAGTCGAGAAAACCAACACAGGGGGCTGGACAGTTGTTTCATTCTAGTTTAAAACTGTTTAGCATTATATATCCATGACTAACTGACTCCCCCCCCCGAAGGATCGAATCTACCTTATTAACCATCCGTCTACTAGGACGAATTCCGATTGTTTTCATGGATTTTAATTTTCTATTAGCTGATTACAGTTGCCATGGGATTCTGTCACAGTGTGGCTGGAAGAGATGGACAGGCTCACCTCGTTACCTGAATGTACAAAGTTCGGTCCCCGATCGGTTTATGCGTGTGTACTGATGAAGAATCCTAATAAACTACAACGAAGCAACTGTCTTATTACTCTCTGGGTTTCAGCACCTTTTTTCTTCTTCTAAACTGATGTCAGTTCTTGATCCACTCTAGAAATCAATAAAATTTGTGCAAAGCAACACTTGAGAATAGTTTAAAGCTATCGATTTTTGAGGTGTTTGTGTTATGTTGATATTTGACAGTGGAAATTAGAACTTCAAAAGTTTTTGAACAAAGTAAGAACTACAGTTTTAGCAGAATAAAATGGTACCATCATTGCTTATTTCGTTGCCTTCTCGTCAGCTGCTTACAGGCCAAAAAGACATTATTCAATGTATCTACAAAAGCAGTTTTAACATACTTGCACAGAGTTCATTTTAAACAAAAATCAATTGATCAATATACGCATACACTAATAATATATACATATATATGCATTATTAAACACTATTCCGAACAATAATCATCATACACAACGAAAACTTTTCAGCATTTCGCATTCGGATGAAAGAGGAAATTAGAGGAAGAATTTGAGTTTCTTGAAAAGATATTGAAGAGCAATGGGTACCCTCAAAGTTTCATCAACAAGTATGGAAGATCTGAAGTCACAAATGTAAAACAAATCACAGTAGAAAAAAAGCCCATCTACTTTCAGGTCGGTCGGTCGGTCGGTTTTCGACATAGAACTTTGCACATATGTGCGGTAGTTGAAGTCGCCACAATCTGTGTAGCACGCAAAGCAAGAGAAGGAAGTAGAAGAAATGCATAATATAGACAGTAGA